TGGGGGGGGTTGCAATGTCACTCTTTTTGAGATAATATGTAGAGTGCGTTCCCTTTTCCTTCTGTTGAATGTGCCCCAAAGGTGCCGATGTCGAGGGAGGGACCCTGCTGGTGTTGAGCATGAAGCACGGCAGTGGCACCCATGTGACAAGTCGTCATTAGCTTCTTTACCCCCAGCTTGGCTTAGCAGCGCTCTGGGTGGACTACTAAAAGAAAATTATTAATTTTATTAAATCTCACCCTTTGAGAAGACACCTTTTCAATTGTTCTGTGTGGTGAATACACCCCAAATCTAAGGAAATAAATTTATTTCACCAGTTTCTTTTTACCTTCTTAATCGAACTTCTACTACCGTGTTTCCCCGAAAGTTAGACATCCCCCGAAAATAAGACCTACTTACAGTTTTGTTTCTCAATGAAATATAAGGCATGCCCCCGAAAATAAGACCTCCCCGATAATAAGGGCCCCGGAAGCCACCATAAGTCTGGACTCTGGACCCTAGCGGTGCCGCCACACAGCTCACTTTTGGCCACAGCGCAGCCGGAGCAGACAGGAAGTGAGAGTAAATGTACCATAGATTATGAGTAAATGTACCATAGATTGTTGCACATAGAAATAATGGTAGTAACAAGAAATTCTTGACACTGTAGGATTCATAGTTTTTCTGGTTATGCTGGTTTGTGATGACAACTACTACCGTACCGTATACAGGCAATAAATTTCCTTTTTTTGTTGTTCAACAATAAATGTGTACCGTATTCTTCTTCATGGAAAAATAAGTTATCCCCTGAAAAGAAGACCTAGCGCATCTTTGGGAGCAAAAATTAATATAAGACACTGTCTTATTTTCGGGGAAACGGTATAAAGTTTTACATATACAAATGCGGCTTGCATTTTATTTCCATTAAATAAGGTTGGTTAAGGTAAGAAGAATGACAAGGATTGAGAGCAGGGGGCAGCTGCTATCGGGGGACCTCTTAGAGAAGGAGCGAACTTCAATATCGGAGAAGTTGGGGTGGAACTGCCAGTTGAAAGTTGAAATGTTAGCACCCACACTGAAACAGGAGAAACTAGGGGCGGAAGGGACTGGTCTGGGGACTGTGAAGGGCAATTCGGACTTTGGCCGCGAGCCCTGCCTGGGACCTGGATTCCCGTAAGGGAGAAAAACCTCCTGGAAAGGTTGAGCTTTGAGTGGCAAGATTTAACTATTTTCCTATGGTAGTGATCCCTTCCCCGGAAGTGAAAAGTTGCTCAATGGCAGATAGAATACCTTGAATGGAGCACGTTCTTCACCTGAGAACAGAGCAGTACAAGTTCCTAGAAGCTCTGTCCAATGGGCCAGCAGCCGGAAACAGGTGGAGCTGAGCCGTGGATTTTGAATGACGTGTAGAGACAGCGAGCTTGTTGTTGATGGATTGGGGGTGGTGGCACCACGTTCAAGTGCATCATGACAATGGCACCTGGAAGAGGAGAAGACTCCAGACAGTATAGCTGTGCGATGGCTGGTGGGGCCATTCCTGAAGCCGTGCCTGTTCCAAACCTCTTCACTCCTTCTCCCTTTATGTTTATCCCCATTTTCCTAGATGTGTTTTAGAACCCTTCCGAAGGGTCAGGGGTTCGCATCTAGCTCAGAGGTAATGAGATGAAAACACCCCTGAGGTCAGAACAAAAATGCCTGGCTTTCTATCCAGATCAGTAATGAGCTCAGAGAATAACGTTAGTCACATCTTGGGGCTTAGCCCTTCTAGATGTGTAAGTAGAGTTAGAACCAGTTGATACTAAGGCCGCCTTCCAGTTCTGTGATTCTAGAACAGGGCCGCACCACAGAAGGAGCTACCTCAACCAGTTAGGATGCTAGCCAGAGATGTCAGGAGGATGCTGGCCCAGTAAGGCAGGCATTGGGGGCCTGTTTGGGATTGGAGTCTGCCCTTTGGATGAGGTTGTTCTCCTTTGAGAAGCAGGTCCTGCTGGAATTGGAGTAGGGAGGTGTATGAATATGTAGTTTTGATCCTAGCTACCCACCCTTCCCACCCAAGCTGAGTGGAGTCGAATGCTAGGAAGAGAGGAAGCGGAGGAAATTGTCTGTGGGCAGGAATGTTCACAGGGGCTCTCTATCTGGTACCCACACTCACACTCGCACTGTCCACACCTTCCCTCCGGGCACCCTGGACCACCTGGAGTCCCAAGATGGCTGGTGGGGCTCACAGTGGGGCAGGAACCTGACTGCTTGTGCTTTTTATTATTTTTAGAAGAGAGAGTAGGTGGGAACCAACCCAAGTAAAGTCCCAGAGACTCAAATAGTGACGCACAGGAAAGCCTCAAGTAGGAGGAGAAATGCAAATCTCCTACCGAATACTAAGTCAGCAGCTTTCTGCTGAGCACTGTGCGGGGCCACTCTGACTTGGGGCTTGAGCGCTGCCTGGGACCTGGACTGAGCGAGAGGGCCAGGTAAGACCACACCTCGACCTGCCTCCCAGGAGAACAGGCAGGGAGGGTGCTGAGGCTTCGCTGCTCACATGAGCTTTGGCTTGTGACTTCTCCTCCACCTGTTTAAGGAGGAATACATCTAAAGGGAATAATCTTGCCCAAGTTCAAGATGTGATGTATTCTGAGAGTGAGAGCAAGGCCCCAGGTGTCCTAGCAGTGGCTCCTAGCACTCAGCTGGGAAGGCCAGGGAACCCCACACGCTTACGTGGATCTCAGAATGGGTAGGGCGGGTAGGAGAGTTGTGGTTGATGTGTAGCTGTGTCCACACAAAGTGCAGACAGTGAGCCCCTATGCAATCTCTGAGCCGGCTTCTCGAGATCTGTGATGTCTGACAATCAATTGCACTGCTGGGTTTCAGGAAAAACTAAAACAAAACAAACCAACCCATGGTGAGGCCAGCCAGTCACTGTGGCTTTGATGAGAGCAAGTGATATTTGTGGCAGGTCATCCCCTTGTCAGGCGTTCGGTCACAGAGGCCTTGTGGCACCATTAGCTCACAGAGAAGGGGCAGATCCTAGGGGACCCCCTTTGGGGAGACTTCCTAGGGCCAGGCACTCAGCAGGAGCAGGCAGGCTGCCTGGGTTCAGGATTGTTCCATAGTTAACTAGCGATAGGGAGAGGAGCTCTTAAAAAGTACAAAGGGAAAAACCAAAGAGATTTCTGAGGCCGCCTCAGGAAGAAGGCCTTGGGACTTTGAAGCTTCCCTTTGCCCCTTTCAGCCTGAGTTATCTCTCTGGAAGATGGACTTGGTGCTATGAGTGATCTAATTTTAGGATAGGCCCAGTCCAGTTAATTCTTTAGAAATGAGGCTGTCATCCAAATCATAGCCAGGAGCTCAGAAGGGTTCCAATGAAAATTATGCCACTCTTTCCCCTCTGTTCTCTGCGGTCACGAACTGGCATAAACTGACAGGAGCAGAGCAAGAGAGTGTTACTAGTGGCATGAGAACAAATGGGCGAGTTTCACGTGGCAGGTAACCAACCAACACAGCGTCCGGAGCGGCAGCTGGGGCCTCCGTTGGATACCTAGGAGCTGTGAGTCGAGGGCAGGAGTCCTTTGGGACTTTTTATCTTTAGGTTTTGTTTGTTTGTTTGTTTGTTTGTTTGGTTTGAAGTGGATGTAAGACGAACTACCCATCTACCTCAGTCCTAGCAATATTAGGAGCACCACTCGGTCTTTAGTTAACAGGCCCTATTGGGTGCTTACAATGAGTATCATAATGTGGAGAGGGCTTTATAAAATATAAAATGATTGGAAAGTGGAAGTACTTTCTTTTCTCACTTGTTTTCTCTGTAGGAAACACCGGCAACAATTCTAGACCCTGTAGATCATTTGCTGGGAGCTCATGGGGGAAAAAAGGAGCTAAGCATGGTTCTGTTTGAAATCTGAGGAACATGTACATGGAATATATTAAATGTACTATCACAATGTTTTGTAGGCTGAAGGAAACCTTAAGTTGCTATAAGACATTTTTAAATACTATGGTGATTAATCACATAAGAGAGTTTGATTTTGTTTGACCTAGAATTGATGAAAAAACAAAACATTTGACTTGAGGAAAAACCAAATGATTGTCATTTAAAATAATAATATCATATTAATTTCCTTGAGTTTGGAAATAAGTCTCAAGTTTCTACATGGTCAGGATGGGGTCAGGCCCAGGGCAGGGAGCGGGAGCATATACTTGTGCTTTATGCCAGGCTACCCGAAATGCACATCAAGTGTGCTTTCTTCCTCCTCAACGTAACAGGAGCATGTACCACTCATGGGCACATCAAGATCAGGTAAAAGTGAACGTAGAAAGCTCTGCCCAGCCATCGTGATCATGAGAGAGGGAAATGGAGATATTCATTGGTTCAGAGCTATACTGAACTGAAAGAATCAGAGCCCACGAAAATGCATGTCTGACAGTCTTCACGGATCTGAGCCAGACACAGGCAGACATCGAGAACACAAGCTGACTCCAGAAGCCGAACACGGCTGAGACAGGTGGGGGGAAACAGGGACTGGCAGTTTCGTACAAAAGCTTTGCCCGAGTGTCCTGAACCCGGAAAGGCTTCGCAGGATCTTAGGAAGCATAATAAATGTTAAGGTACAGTAAATGTTGAGTGTAGTGTTGGCTTTTAAGAAACTTCAAGCCCGATGGTATAGAGGGAGCAAGGGTTAGGGGAGGAGCTTATTGAATAAATCCCTGTGTCGACTGATGAGGGAAAGATTGGCTTGGGGAGGGAAAGCTTCCTGGGGAAGGTGGAACAGGAGTTCTTAGTAGTTCAGGGAAGGGCTTGGTTTGAGGGCAGAGGGAAAAGGTATTTCTTTGCATGAAGCATGAATAAGGAAGACGTTTAGAGAAATTGCTATACCTGTGCATTGAAAGCAACTTTTTAAAGGCACTTTCCTCTAGTGACAAAACTAACAGGCCACATGGCCTTTGTTGAAATTTAAGGAGAGACGAAATCACATGCCACAGCTATGCATCATCATCATTTAGAGATTCTCTTTCCTCCCTTTTACAGCATGTCTCAGTGGAATCAAGTTCAACAGTTGGAAATCAAGTTTTTGGAGCAAGTAGATCAGTTCTACGATGACAATTTTCCTATGGAAATTCGGCACCTGCTGGCACAGTGGATTGAAAACCAAGACTGGTAGGATCAAGCATCATTGTCTTCCCCAGAGGTGCTCGCACCCAGCCGTTCTGCTCGGTGCAGGTTTCTCTGGGGGTGACTTGGGAGAGGCGTTCCTTCCAGGCATAGAGCTTCTTTGAGGGTTCTGAAAGATTTTCCTCCAAGAGGAAAGCATTGTCCTTTAGGGTTTGATGAAAACGGAGTGGTCTTAGTTCTTTACTTTTCTAAAAGCCAACTTTTTTTCAGTACTAATAAGCTAAAAAGTAAATTTGTTTATGTGTCTATGCTAAGTTAACTATAGAAAGGTAAAGAGAGAGAGAGAGAGGAAAACAGAGAAAATAGGTCGAGCTTGTGTCTCTTTATATGTGTCTATACTGAACTCAGAGAAGCCCTAGTGGTGTAAGGTGCTGGGCACTGGACTCTTCCCCACAGGGTCAGCAGCTTGAACTCACCAGCTGCTCCGAGAGAGAAAGAGGAGGCTTTCTGCCCCAGTAACAACTTACAGCCTCTGTAAGTTAGAATCAACTCAATGGCAGTGATTGTTTATGCTGAATTAAATAGAGAAAGAGGCGCACAGAGAGTGGGAGACAAAAAGTCCATCTTGTATTTCTAATCATATATTCAAGAACATGCCACATTCTTCACTGCCATCCGTGAAGCATCCAGGTGGTATTAATGCCCAGGCTATATGGTGGAGTCCCAACAAAAAGCCATTTCTAAACTGTCTTGTGTTTGGCTAACATAGCACTAAGCCCCATTTAAGGAACACGGGGTCTTCATAATGTACATATATTTTCTTTTTCCAGTAATGGCTTCAATTATAAAAAAGATAAATTATGAGAAACTAAAATAAAAAATTATGTAAAATTATGAGAAACTGTTTTAAATGGTTAATAAATATTTTTAAATATTTACTGAGAAAATTCATATATTATACACTGGCTTCTTATACGTTTACACATCCTTCTCCAATGCTACTATAATCAGTTATTTTTTCTTTTAACATATAATATGAACATGATAACATTTTAATATTTGGAGGAAAATGTTAAAAGTAGCCAATAAATTTGATGTTTTAAAGTATTTGATAAATTAGTATTGCAGTGTCACAATCTTTTCTCTCCTTTATGTTTTCCAAAGCAAGTTTTGTGAGTGTTCGTAAACACTAGGAAGAAGTTTTCCAAAATACATAGGGAACTTTATTTATTGAAACAAACCATATGCCCCTTCTTCCCTCCCCCTCCTTTCTTCTCCCCTTTCATCCTCCCTCCCTGTTTTTCTTCCTTCTTTCCTTCCCAGGCACAGTTAAGAAATCATCTCAGCACGTGAAAAAGCATTGCCTCTATTGTTTGAAATTTGTCCCATCAAATTTAGATCGATGGGACCTCACGTCTGGTCTTTTGCTTTTACCAGAGAGGTGAGATCGATTCTCGATCAGAGTCTCGATCAGAGACTGTTTGTAGTGCGATTCACCACGTTTCTTCAGAACTCTCTTCACTGTGCATAATTTAATTGTTTTTCAAACCTCTGAATGCGTATCTCTATGGACTACATGTATCACTTTCATATTAGTGTGATGAAAAGCTGAGGACACAACTTTTACCAAGTTGTTTCCTGTTGTGTGATAACACTTTTGTTTTATTAGGGAGGCGGCTTCTAACAATGAAACCATGGCAACAATTCTTCTTCAAAACTTGCTAATACAATTGGATGAACAGTTAGGTCGCGTTTCCAAAGAGAAAAATCTGCTCTTGATACACAACCTAAAAAGAATTAGGAAAGTCCTGCAGGTAAGAATGGATTCTACTTCTTAAAAATATTTGGACTTATGAATCTTAAATTCAGTTTTTTTTAAGCCACATATGCAACTAGATTCTTTTCCTACCAAATTGAAGGGGGAAATCTCAATTCTCTATTTTTAAGTTTTTTCCTGAATATTATTTCCTAATCCAGTGTTTGTTTTTCATGTGAAAACAAGAAAAAAAGGTAAAATACATTAAAGGCAGGATGTGTGTGTGTGGGGGGGAGGGTATGTATATGTTTTCTGTGATTATAGCCTATGACTTAAATTTCCCAAATATGATCAAATTCCACAATATCAAATCAAGGATTTAAAAGATAACCCATTTCCTCAGCCCTTTCTTGCCTCTTTCTCTTGCAATTAGCATTGGTTTTGTTCCCATCACAGATGGCGGCACCATGGGCTTATGTACCCTTCCAGATTTTCTTCAAGTCCTACCTCATTTAAAAGTAGTCTTGGAGGGTACCCTCTCCAACCCCTACTCCCAAAGGTTTAGCCATAGGATCTGTTTTATATTCTCACATATCTGGTTCATGGTATTTAGTCTATATTCTGTAGTCTATATTTAGTCTATATTCTGCAGAAGATATATATTCTGTAGTCTGTATTTAGTCTATAGTCTATATTTAGTCTATATTCTGCAATATTGACATTTCTATGTTGTGTTCTCTCCAAAACTATGGGATTCTTGAGGCAAGAAATCTGATATTGAGATTTCAACATCCAATGCCCAATCACAGCCTAACATAAGTAGATGTGCAATATTGATTGATTAAAGGAATGAGTAAATGAAGAGAGTGAGTCAATGATCTCAAAGAATTAATGGCAAGCTAATGCTGAGCTAGACCCAGAGGCTCTCCGGTAGCAGACTCTGAACACTGACTACAGTAATGTTTACTGCGCGCCGACAATATATTTACAGCACGAGAACTGTCATGTGCTCTCTCTCAGTCCCAAATCAAATGAACATTTTAGAATATCCTTCCTAGACTATAACAGAAATGTGCTGAAAAAATAACGCTACTGACATTTGTTAGAGGACCGCATATATTTGCTTTTCCTATTATTGTTATGAACTGCCCTCAGCTAGCTTCGTCCTTCTAATTCCTTAGTCGTTTGCAAGACACTAGTAGGGTAGTCAAGGAGCTCTGGTGGGGCAGTGGATATGGGTTGGGCTGCTGACTGCAAGGTCAGCAGTTCAAAACCACTAGCTGTTCCATGGGAGAAAGACAGGGCTTTCTACTCTTGTAAAGAATTACAGACCCAGGAACTCACAGAGGCAGTTCTACCCTGTCCTATGGGGCCACTACAAGTTGACCTTGACTTGATGGCAGTGAGTTTGGTGTTTGAGTTTGGGTAAGGAAGGTGGGAAAAGAGCATGGTGTCAAAAGCAAATCAGAATAAAACAAAAGCCAAGAAGGAAAACAAGAATTTTTAAAAATCATTTTATCACAACTCTTACCACAATCCATCCATCCATCCATTGTGTCAATCACATTTGTACATTTGTTGCCTTCATCATTCTCAAAACATTCGCTTTCTACTTGAGCCCTTGGTATCGGCTCCTCATTTTACCCCTCCCTCCCCCTTCCTCCCACCCTCATGAACCCTTGATATTTTATAGATTATTGCTATTTTGCCATATCTTACACTGTTTGATGTCTCCCTTCATCCACTTTTCTGTTGTCCATCCTCCAGGGAGGAGGTTATATGTGGATCCTTGAAATTAGTTCCACCTTTCCACCCCACCCTCCTTCTACCCTCCCAGTATCGCCACTCTCACCACTGGTCCTGAAGGGTTCATCTGTCCTGGATTCTCTGTATTTCCAGTTCCTATCTGTACCAATGTATATCCTCTGGTCTAGCCGAATTTCTAAGGCAGAATTGGGATCATGGTAGCGGTGGGGAGGAAGCATTTAAGAATTAGAAGAAAGTTGTATGTTTCATTGTTGCTACACTGCACCCTGACTGGTTCATCTCCTTCCCATAACCCTTCTGTAAGGGGGTGTCCCATTACCTACAGATGGGCTTTGGGTCTCCACTCTGCACTCCTCCTCATTTACAATGATATGATTTCTCGTTCTTTGATGCCTGATACATGATCCTTTTGACACCTCATGATCACACAGGCTGGTGTGCTTCTTCCATGTGGGCTTTGTTGCTTCTGAGCTAGATGGCCACTTGTTTATCTTCAAGGCTTTAAGGCCCCAGACACTATATCTTTTGATAGCTGGGCACCATCAGCTTTCGTCACCACATTTGCTTATGCACCCTCTTTGTCTTCAGCAATCGTGTCGGGAAGGTGTGCATCATGGAATGCCAATTTAATAGAACAAGGTGTTCTTGCATTGAGTAAGTACTAGAGTGGAGGCCCAATGTCCATCTGCTGCCTTAATACTAAATCTATAGATATATGCACATAGATCTATTTCCCTATCATCCTACATAAATATATTTGTGCATATATTTATGTACATATGTGCATGCCTGTATTTCGACCTCTATAAATGCTCTTTGACTCCTAGTTCTTTCCTCTATTTCCTTTTACTTTCTTCTTGTCCCACTATCATGTTCAGCCTTCATTTGGGTTTCAGTAATTTCTCTCGGTTAAGCCAACTTTCTTTAATAGGGAATAGGGCATTTAATCTTGGCCTTATTAGCTTACTGTCTGACAAACTCTGGCCCGCTACTTGTTTATATACAACTCATGATTTAGAATGGTTTTTACATTTTGCCATGGTTAAAAAAATAATACTTAGTGACACATAAAAATCGCATGAAATTCAAATTTCATTGTCCATCAGTAAAAATGTATAGGAACACACTCATTCTGATTCACTTAAGTCTCGTCTGTGACTGTTCTTTTGTGCTACAATGTCAAGGCTGAGCAGTTGCAGCAGAGACTGCCTGGCACAAATCCTAAACTATCAATAGTGTTCGTATGTGTTTTATACTTAATATTTCTTGAGTTTATTACAGAAAATTTTGCTGACCCCTGGCCTAGAAGCAAAGTGCCTATAATGAACTTTGCTAGAAAGGCACAGATGGATACCATGGAATCAAGTTCTGACTCTCAAAATGTGGCCTTGGGTAGATCACTTATTCTTTGCAAAGTCCCTGTATATTCTCTTGTAAATAAGGAGGATTATTACCTAACTTTTGTGATGTGAGGAAAGCTAGAGCCTGAATTCTGGCAAAAGGTAGGCTTTCATCCGTGGTTTTCGTTGATGGAGAAAAGAGCATCTTTTTAGTGTGAATCAAGAAGAAGTGTACAAATATAATCCTGGTTGGTTGGTTGTTTTTTTTCCTTTGTGGGAAAAGGATTGCAAGGGGTGCTTTCCCATCCTCTCAGACCAATCTTTAGAAACATCATCTCTCTCACTGCTCCAATGCTCAAGAACCTGTAGTAACTCCTGGCTGCGTTCCAGTTCACGTACCAGCTCTCATTGTTGTCAATGGACCTCCGGGATCTAGCATCTTTTTACTTTTCCTAACAAATTTCTTGGGGATCCTCAACATTTCCCTCCCAGAAAATTAAATCAACTCCTGTCTCCAAGCCCATCTTACTCTCCAATGGCTCTGGGCCTCAGTCCATGATGGCCCCAAGGCCATCCCTCCTCCTGCAAACCAGTTCCCAGAGAGCCAGCTAAGGACACCGTCGCTACTTTTTCCAGCCCTCGTCCTCATCCTTCCCAGGACACTGGTCGTAAAACCACCAGCTTCATGTGGTGTCCCTTTCCCCTGAGCTGGATGTGTCTAAGGAGGCCACATGCTCTTTGAAGGTGAAAGCCTGGCTTGTAACCTCTCCCCCTCCTGCACTGGACGAGTTCATGAGAACTTGACGAGCACTTTGTTTCTAGATGCTCAGAACTCACAAACGCACAAACAAGTCCAACCCACCTTTCCTCGTGCTTACTGTACTGAATTTTAGAAGCTAGAGTGATTGGGTTTTTTAATTAGTTCAGAACACTGTAGAAAATAGTAATAAAGAATCTTCAACTCCTGTGTGGTACCTAAGTACACCTGTATTTTATACTTCTAGTTAAATAATCATATTCCCACTAAATTAGTTTTTACTAAAAACAAGGTTTTTTTTCATTTGTTTTGTTTTTATAAAGGAAGACACACCCACCCTGCCACCCCCCCACCCCCACCCCCCCAAAATACCCTAGAAACAGTCCCTTTTATCTTAAATTATGGACACTGCTTGTCTGCTACGAACATTTTCATCCTGGGGAATTTAAAAAACAGCCTGTTTTAACTGTTAAAACAACAGAGAGAGCAAACAATATGATGTCTGGGAAACTCAGCAGATGTACCCAATGCCCTTGAGTTAATTCCATCTTATCGGGGCGCTATATGCAAACTCAAATCCACTACATCCACCTGATTCCTACTCAGAGCAATCTTATAGGGCAGAGTAGGGACTACAAAGCTGTAAATCTTTCAAAAAGCAGGAAACCTCATCTTTCTCCTGTGGAGCTGCTGGTGGGTTTGAACTGATGACCTTATGGGTAGCAGTCCAATGCATAACAAATTATGCCACCAGCAACCCTTTATGGTTGGCTTATTTTGATTCTTTCTAGAGCAGCTGAGGCTTTAGAATTCAATACTTTAGTTTACTATTTATGTCACAATGCTTTCCAATAGCTTACAATAGTAGAACAAAAACGCCCTCATCGAACCTAGACCAAAGGAACTGTGGCACTGTGAGTTTGGCACAGGCCTGCTCATCTCAAAATATGCAGTTCAAGCCCACCAGCCATTTGTTGGGAAAAAGAGGAGACTGTCTGTTCTTATAAAGATTTACAGTCTCAGAACCCTACATAGGGTTGCTGTGAGGCAGAATTGATGACAGTGGGTTTGGGTTTTTTTGGCTTTAGGGCAAGAGGAAATTTCAAAGTTGATATTGGTTCCATTAAAAATATCCAAATTTTTTTAAAGGCTTCTTCTCTAATGAAATATTTCTCCCCCCTCAAAGAAATCTCA